TGAATAAAACAATAAAAATTCTGTACAAATAATTTAGATAACTATTTTAACAAAATAATTTTGTGGCAAGTATTTTTATTTATTAAACTGTCAAACACCAAGCGGTCACCGGTGACCGCAACCTATTGTTCTATAATTGTGTCTATAATGACGGTACTCGACGAGTTAAATATCATTTAATATTAGTATTATGTAGAGGACCTAGGTGAGTGGGAGTTAGTTTAAATTAATTAATAGACAATAAGTAGTCATTTTTGTATAATAAATAATCACGTAGATATAATTATGAATGTGTATTATTATTTAGGTACAATAGAATAGGTACTCACTTTCCTAGTTCAGATCAAAATCCATATTCACTTTACGAGCAACTTTACTGTAACACAATATGCACATAACTAATCACACTGGGAGTACTAAATGTGACTGAAATGAACGTTTGTCTTTGTCACTAAGAAGGCTCACAAAAAATATTTTTTAAAGCAAAAACTTTTGTATAGGTTACACAAGAAGTCTATGACGTAGAATATTTCCCGCCCTCCAATAACACTGGCAGTTCACACTTGTTGAGTTGAAGACCAAACTAAAATTAATACGCGATGAGGTGCCAAGTTCCGAGACGTAACACCAGTACTGCACTAATTACTACACTGCACTATTTCAGGCGAGCGAGCACGTGAACCACTCTACTAGACTGATTCATAGCGATCGAAGCCACTGACTAACTGACTGAAAGTTTCAACAATACAGAAATTGCCGAAGGTCGCGAATCCATTCGATATATCCCACGGCGTCTGCCGACTGAGAAAATCATTCATTAATGTCTTGAATAAATTATTACAAACATTAAACAAATTGTACCGGCTGCGTTAGTTCAGGATAATGTATTCAGTCCCAAATAGTTTCAGAGTTTTAACTGTTGAAGTCTAAAACAAAGCCAAGCCATGTGAATGTGGGATGAATGGCTTAACTTTTTGGTGTTTTGGTTGTCTATCTAGGTACTAAAATAATAATTCCAATTTTAAGTAAATAAAGTGAAGCAATCTGAATTTCCAAAATCTATAGCTATTTGAAATTTTAATCAAAGAAGGTGAGTAAATTATTGTTCTACAAATCATAAAGAACACTACCTACCTAGGTACGTAAAGATATCAAGCATTATCTGTATTACAAACAAACTGATATCAGAAACAGCAAATGTGGTAATTCGTGAAAATGTTTATGCATGTGATTATTGTAATTACATTTAGGTAGACGTCTCTGATTGACGTATACATAGGCACATATATTTATCACTCACCTACACGGTTATACCAGTTGCAAAATTAGCCTGCTGTGTTGAATCCCTTCACTTTTAAGGAGGCAGACCATGACTAACGGAGTATTCACCTATGTGTACCACACAAGTGGGTAGTCTAGTTGCACAAGCAACATCTAACGTTTTGGTGAATACGTAGGAACGACCTTCGCGAATCACCATAATGAGAAGTTGACTCGATAGATACTTAGATTTCGTTTCAGAACATATCTAAGTAGTATTCCGCTTCAGTTGGCACCTATCTAATTCCACTCACTAATATTTACATTGGCGAAGGGCTGCTGAATAATAAACGTTGAGGCGCCAACGGCTCTAAATTATTCTGTAGAGATGCTGAATCATAACAACATTTATTTTTGTGCCGGTAAAGTACGCCTGCGTCTAGTATACAATTTTAGTTTTATGTCTCTCTGAATCAAAATTAAATTAACGAAGATAATTTTTAATTGAATATTGATGGCTAAATTGTAATGTTTTTTGTGACCCACCATAGGTTGCCCGAACGGGAGTACTACACTTATTTGTGTCAATAGGTTGATTGTAAAATCTATTTGCAGTGGGCGGGCAATCGTTCCGAGGCGCCGCCAATCGTTACTCAAGGTGATATTCAGCTGTTTTATGTCTTTTACACATACATTTTTCTTTTGATGGCTTGTATATCTATTGCGCGATTACTTTTCACAATGCAAACGTGTACTTCTAAGAGTTATTTTTGAGAGCATTTCAGCAGGCGATGTATTGTTCTCGCTGCTACAAAAAGATCAGTGCGTAGCCCTATAATAGCATTAGAGTAAGATAAATTCAGATAATTTTGAATAAATGTCTATTATATGTATTTAACTAAATCGGAAAAGTAGAAAATATAGTAAGCACCTACTTGACAATAAATAAATACATACGTACCCGTAACCAGTCTTGGTTGATTGTTACTTATTTACGAGTAAAAGTTGTAACTGCGGAACTCGTAAATGTACTGCAATTATTTATGATACACTTAGAAAGCCACTGCACGCAAGAGACTTTTAGACTACAGTAGGTCCACCGATATATCCCACTATTTTGTGAGAGATAATTAAAGTTTCGTCATTAATATAGATATTCGTCCGTTTGATTGTTGCTGAAAGATAAATGCGAAATGCTACTAGTTGAAGTAGATAATATAATAGGTAGCTATAGCACTTACCTCCACAAGGAGTCATTATTGATCATTCTAGGTATTCCCTTAGTGCTTATTACAGCGTTAATATTTTAGTGCTAGATGTTTGTACCCATCGAATTGTTGCGATTAGGTAATATCAAGGAATATTCGTACTTGTTCCACAAGGTTTAAATTGAAGGTGACATACTTTTACAGTACTGCCCTTCAAACCTCATATTTCCTGTTGCAACCAGCAGCTACTTTGCGTAGTAATAATAAACTGATCTAATTGGCTCATGGAGCGCACTAAACATCCTACATTTCATGCTAGACTTATCAGATTAATTAGACACTCCATAGAGATAGATATATGGCACAGTTTAAGTTTCTTTACTAGAAAAAAACTATTTTTAGTGCAAATCATGATATTCATACTTAATTTTAACATATAGCAGGTCAAAACAGTTATAGAGTAGTTCTATAATAGTTTTTGATTGTAGTTATTACTTCAATTCTTTTGGCAAATAAATGAAGCAAGTGTTGAAAAATACATTATTAATATGCTATGGCTAACAACCTTATTTATATACATTATATATATTAACATGACAATTCTCTGTGACTACTGATGAGTTATTTATGACTTTCCTATGATATGTTTGAATTGTTCGTAATTGTTGTTTTAGTGAGTGGGATAGAGTGACTCTATATGTAGTAGTTAGAATATATTTGGTGATAATGTTGTACATTGTTCCAAGCTCATTCAAGTAAAGATAAGTTCTATATTCAATGAACTATTTGTTTACTTGTGAAAGTGAGGCGATCAATGGTTTTTGCATTTTGGCTACCTTGTGACTTTTGTAAAAAGAATTTGTAATATTTATCACTATATTTTGAATTGGTCAGTAATACAAAACTTTAACTGAATATAAATATGTTGGTGTCAATGATGGTGCTTCTGCTTATAGTGTAACTGGTGAACAGTGGATAGGAATAATATGGGAAAATTTTAAATTATCTTTTAACTGTCAAACTCAATAAAAAATCCTAGCAACAAAGTCAGATAAAAATGTAATTAAACTAGATAGATATACTATACTTTATACTGCTAGTTTTTCAATTTAACCCGTTGATATCCATCCCCTAAATTTGGTCATACAAAAGTATTCTCTAAACATTAGAAATAAGGTCTATAATGTAATGTAATATTAGTGGAAAGCGGTCACCGGTGACCGCTTGGGGATTTATGGGTTAATTATGTATTTTTCAGATGTATCATCTTTTAAATTTTTCAAGTAGTTCAGGAGTAAACTATACTGATACACTACTTGTATACAAAAATAATATAGTTTTTACTTTATTCAGAATGAAATTAATTAAATCACAAATTAATATTTTGTATCTTGTCTTTGTATGTTTATGTCACTAGCGAGCTTAGAAGATTATACAGATATTTGGCATTCAATCATAGAGTAGTTAATGAGCATTTTGACATAAAAACTGTTTGGGGATTAAATTATGGGAGCTTAAATAGTAAAATATTAATTTTTAGGCATAGTGCCAGACATGACCATTGTTATAGTTTATATTTGGCCACCATCCATTTTCCTAGCATTCAAATTATGATATTATGTTAAAATGAAAGGATAACAGTATCATTGTAATATCTAAAAGTAGCCATATGGTCATAGGTTCAGGTAAATTTATTATTAGCTTTCCTGTGTTTATTAAGGTAAATTAAATCTGTTTCATTTAAAATTAATATTTTGCTATAAATAATGTTTTAACAAAGGTGTTTGTATTAAAATATTGTCTACTTATAAGTAGTTTATTGAATGTACTGTAACTATGACAGTATTTTCTAATATCATTTCATTACAAAAGCTCATAATGATAGAGATTAGAGATATTGTGGATCTCTGTGTTTGTTGCTATGGAAATATTTTATACACTATTTTAAATTGTAGATATGAATATAACTGACAATAATGATGAATTAAAAATTCTGGCATATAATTGTTCAATTAAAAAACCAGTTTTATGGCCCAATAAAACGTAACAACAAAAAAATTGGATTTGTGTTCAGCTGTGTTGTAGGTGTGTGATCAATTATTACAGTTTTAGTTAATTAAAGAATTCAATAAATCGTAGTTGCAATAAACAGCACTAAAGCATGACCTGTAATAGATACCGCGCTACAGGCGGATATCTTGATAGATATGATAACTTGCTTGCTATTCACACATATAGATACTACTTACCTATCATAAAATGTAGACTATGTGGTGTCCTTCACAGCTGGCGCATTATATAAGCTTTATATATTAACTCCTACAGTCTAGACTTCTTACTTCCCTTAAAAACTACTCTCACAGAAAAACACTAAGCTGGAGATAAGCTTTCTAAAATATCTAAAACTTATCACTCACGTTTGTGGAAGATACTTCGTATAATGAAATAGAATTTACTTCGAAAAGGTATTGTAACTGGAAAACAGAGAGAGCTAAGGAATTACACGGGAATTTACGAAAAACAATATTTTTTAGATTTGAAAAGGCTTGACTGGAATAAAAGAGACGTCAGGCACCCAACCAACAGCCCTTTCTTCAATCGAGTTTTGAAATGATTTTACCGGAAAAGACAGCAGGACGGAACATCATAAATACTTCATGTTAGAAAGAGTTAGATATATTTCATGTTCAAAATAAACACAAGTCTGACAATACGAAACGAAATGAAGTGACGTCAATCTGCCTTCCAGCATTTATTTACAAATTGACATTTTATTGATATTTATAGCAAAAAGCGCGGGTGCTGTAATTTTCTGAAATTGTTCGCAATAAACATTGTACATTGTACATTGATACATTTATTAAGTTAGTATTAGTAGATATACGATAAATCACGTAAATTAGACAAATAAATGAAAAACCACACACGAACACAGCATCAATAAAACTAAAACAAAATTACGAAGTCGTAAATAAAAATCCGAACCACTGTCTGTTTTGAAAGAAACTCAGAGTTTTCAAATTATTAGAAGCAAAACATATTAATGCAAGTTTTAGAAAATTATTTTTGCGAAAAAGCCGTGTTACCAAGTCAAAATAAAAAGGTACTCAACTGTCTGTCAGTGTCATGTCAATGATGGCTTATTACGTCAACGTCAAAGTTTTAAGGTTAGGTTATTGTTGCTATTGTGAATTTTTTCTTAATGATAATAATTATTAACTCATAATCCTCCCGTCTAGTTTTCTGAAAGAATAACTAGCAATATCCTAAAAATATGGATACAGTAGTTAAGAGTTTGCTTGATGAGGAGCCTGAAGAAGAAAAAAAGGTTAGGTCGATTCAATGCATTAAAATATCCATAAATTAATCAAAATACCACAATACATAAATATATTACAATTGTAGCTTCCCTTATTTTTTAATAGTTTTCATTGTTGTTAATGTTCTAATATTACATATCTGTAAATTTAAAAGACAAATTTATATGAAGAAAAATTTAAGTGAATGGAATATAGTTTATTCCATTCACTTAAATTTTACCTACTGAATTATGTTTTAAAACCCTTTTTCTTATTTCAGGGACTAGTAATATTTGGTAGGGATGTGTCCAAAATACCATGCTTCAGAGAAAGTTTTCTGTATGGCATTTCAACTGGAATAGGTGTTGGTTTAGCGGCATTCATTAAAACATCTCGGCCTATGTTATCGCAGCACATAGGTGTGGGAACATTTTCAATGACTACTATGGTGTACTGGTGTTACTGTAGGTACCAATGGTCTAAACAACGATTTGATGCTCAATTATTACAAGATGCATTGAAAGACAAAATTCTCTATGAAGGTACTATGGTCGAAAAAGAACTTGAACAGAAAGGTGTATTAAAATCAGCTTAGGACTGTAACTAAATAAACCACCAAACTTTGTAAGTAGTTCAATAAAAAAGATTTTAATTTATGTTGATGTTGCAAGTAACATTTTATTCATACTGGTTAAAACGTGTTACTTAAAAGTATATGTATAATATTATATTATTTTATCCTGTATTATAATAAAATATTTGAATTGTTATTGTTACTGTACAATAAAGCTTGTAATAGATTTAGGACAAAATGTATTTTTTATCAAATAGCTTTTGAACCTAGTTTTCTAGTTAAATCCAGATAAGTACTGCCATGTTTATGATTTTTTGTGTAACCAACCAGTACTCATTAAAATTAATAACACTTGTATTTTTTACTCCCAGTTTTGTAGATAACTTTGCATTTTGTTTGAAGCTGTATAAATCATGTTAATCAGTTGTCTTCAAGATAACATAAACTAAACAAGCAGATAATGCTTTGTGTAAATTATGTACAAGTATTGAAATGTATATTTAGATGTTAGTGTAGTTAATTAAAATTGTCATTATAATTAAATGTTTATTATTTACGCATACCTTATCTCTACTAAAAAACTAGAACATCACGTCTATTATTTCCTCATGTGGCATGTGGTTCACAAGAGATGTTCATAGTACACAACTACACAGTACATACTATGTAACAGTTACACAGAAATGTGTTTTCTCTATCTAAATATAAAACTATAGTATAATGATATTGTTTCAATTTAAAAATCAATACAATGATTAAAAGTCGGCGTAGGGATTTGTAACTCAAGTTTCAACCACCGAATTGTATATTTTTCTTTAACATTTATCTTATCGTGAAAAATTAAAATCTGCACTGCACTATTCGAAACGTTCCTACCTACCTTAGTTACCTACCTTCAACGAAAAAATTAGTTTCAAATTGACATAATTCGATTAAATTAATCTAAGTACTTAACTTACCTACATGTAAATTTTATGGAGTTATAAAAATAGGTACAGACCTACATACATAGATTGCGCAATAATATTGATCGATATTAGAAGAAATAACTAATGAGGTGACGGTAAACATGCTGATTATATTTTAATCAAAACCCCTCAAATTATCTAAATATGTTTTGAATTAAAACATTGTTCTTTACGTTGAAATCGTTTAGAATAGAACCTCGTTAGTAAAACGTGCGCGAGATCGCGGCAGTGACACGAGTGCGGTGCGGTCCATCGGACGCAGTTCTGTAACGTATTAAATTGTTTAATAATAAAATACCGGTTATTCTACTCAATGATTGGATTGAACGATGGAATCTGTAAACAGTTTGATACCTGATGATGCACAAAAAACTTTAATATTCTTCGTAAATGGCAAAAAGGTAAATTACCTATTATTTGTTTATTGTGTCTACTTATAATAAATTAGTTCAACTAAACTGTTTACCGGTAGGAATTGTATTTCCATGATTCTGCTACTTAGTTTCCTTTGTAAGTAACATTACAGGGTCAATGTATGACATATGACATATTGTTTACCATGTACCTAGTAAAGAAGTGATAAATAAGTTGTAGGTAGGTACTTAGATACATTTGAAATAGGTACTCTTTGGGTAGTCACAATGCGGTGTTGCATTGTCCCCCACGTTGTCTTACGTTGTCGTGGGGATCGTTTTTATGTGCTAAAATTGGCATTAGTGGTGACTATGACTAGTACAGGCAGAGAGTTTGTTTATTTACATAAAACAACATGCTCCGTGTTAATTACGGAGCTAAAATACCTATTTCAGCACCTTACTTTACTTGCCTTTTTATTCTATCTAGGCCCATAAAAACAAAGTACCTACCTAATACCTATAATAGGTTAGGTCTACGTCACTTATTTTATGAAGTGATAGTCAGCTATGGCGGTTGCTTCATAAATTAAAATCGAATCAGCAGCATATAGCGAACGTTCAGCAGGTTTATAATTACCTACGTGCAGTCTGTAATACTTAAAAAAAAGAAGTAAAAGCTTAAATCTAGGAACCAGATAGGCAGATAGTAATTTACAGATATACCTACTTATTTTGTTTCTACTAAACATACCTAAATAACAATTACAATAACTTCTAAACATACAATTTAATTTACATATGACACCCAGACCCTAAAAACCATTTATGGATCACACAAAGAGTCGTGCTGTGCGGGAATCGAACCTGCTACACGTTACGCTGCCGCTGGGCCCCAGACACGGCTTCAACCATGCAGCAATGTATAGAAAGCTGCAAATAAAGACCTATTTATTAATCCATTGAAATGAAACCTTTTGCACAGTAAGCTTTAGATAAGCGTGGCTACCTACGGGGTAGGCAAGTTATTTGCTTAGTATTAAATGTTGATAGGTACCTATTTCTGTTAGGGCTACCTAATATTTGCTCTGCAGTCTGCAGTACATGCGACCGACCAATGATACACTTCCTTACAAGTACCGAACAATTAGTACCTACTTTCCTTAATATAAATTAAATTATTTCGACTGCTCAATACAATAAAATAATAAAAAATAATCACACTTTCATTAATTGATTTTATGATCAACTTCATTTTAGTATATTTCTAGCAAAATTTTAAGAAACAAGTAGGTATGCTGGAATAATACTAAAATTAAGTTATTTTTGATGAAGAAAAGTACCCAATTCAATTGTAATGATAACTGCTACATATAACTTCAAAATAATTTATATGGTTACTTTACACTCTGGACCGAGCTTACATGTATGTACGCTTGACAGGTAGACAAGATTAGGTAGGTAATCAATAAATTTTGATGTTCCTAAAGTGCCATAATTAAAGATTCGGTAATTGAAATAAATGCTTAACTTTATTTGTAATGTTAATTAACAAATAATGTTTATAATGATTTTAAGGTCAACTAGCGCCAATGAAACCCCGCGTTATGATAACCCGAGTCATTACAACCCAGGAGCAGATAGATTCATTCAAATTACGTAGTATTAGGTCTTTTTATACCGAATTACCGATACCTAGTGTAATAAATTTATTAATGAAATAGAAATTAGTCCTATATCTATCTAAAACATGTTTAAACTGTCAAACACCAAGCGGTCACCGGTGACCGCAACCTATTGTTCTATAATTGTGTCTACAAAACCGGTACTCGACGAGTTAAATTAGATAACGGGAAGGTTTTTTAAACTAATTTTAAGGTAAGTACATAACGCCTATTATTTCCCAGAGGTAGAGGAGGTACATTAGTAGGTTCGATTCGCTAGTTACGTAATTTAATGAACCTAATTGAGTTGAAAGTAGTTGAAACCTGCGTGATAAAGTTATGTGGGTACTTACTTAATTTACAAAAAAGCCTTGCTTACAACCCTAAACAAATCTCAGTAATCATATATCAAGTTTCAACTTAGATCGAATATCAGTGCTACATAACTACGTAGGTAGGTATCTACTACATCTCCTTTCTCTCGTATTAGGTACTTACTTACATAATATATATTAATTAATGTCTATAAATAACATAACACCTTTTATTCCTCGAAGGGCTCGGCAGAAGTGCGCAATGGGCACATACTTAATACCTAATTAGGTACCTAAGTGTAGCGTCTAGTTATGTTACGTTATTATAAATGGGATACAGGTGTCTATTTTAATATTTACCTACTATGAGAATTTGAAACAGAAGAAACCCGGAACTATCTCTACACGGCATAACTTTGCCCGACCCGGAAATCGAATGCGAGACCCCATGCTAAGCAGCCGTGGTTGTCCGCTACTACACTGTTCAAAATCAATATTACAATTTATAGGTATTATCTAATTTTTAAATGCTGTTGCAGGTTATTGAGGAAAAACCAGACCCAGAATGGACTTTACTATTTTACCTTCGCAAGAAACTTTTGCTTTCTGGAACTAAATATGGATGTGGAGAAGGTGGATGCGGCGCCTGTACAGTCATGATCTCACAATATTTGAAAATCGAAGATCGCATCAAGTATCCTTTACGAATATAGTTCCTATTTTCAACACGGATTGTACAGCCCGGCTAGCTCAGTCGGTAGAGCATGAGACTCTTAATCTCAGGGTCGTGGGTTCGAGCCCCACGTTGGGCGTAACTTTTTGTTACAGTATTTAGATTTAACTTGCATATTGTAATGAAGTTTCCAGATAAATACTTTTTTATTCGGAAATCCTTGTTAATTTCAGTTTTTCTGGAAAAAAATGCACATAATTTTAATGGTTTAAAAATGTTGATGAACAATATCGTTTGAAAATTAGACAATAATACGCTTAACTATTTTTTTATATATAAAATAGACACATTGCGGTAAACGCTTGCTTGACACCGGTTTGCGCTATGCATGGCTTAGCGGTGACCACCGTTGAAGGAATAGGTTCTACACAAGAACGTTTACATCCCGTGCAAGAAAGACTAGCGAAGGCTCACGGGTCACAGTGTGGATTTTGTACACCAGGCATCGTAATGTCAATGTATGCCCTTTTACGAAATAAAACCAAAATTGAATATAAAGACATAGAAACTGCATTGCAAGGAAACCTTTGCAGATGCACTGGGTACAGACCTATAATTGAAGGCTTTAAAACTTTCATAGAAGGCTGGGAAAGAAATTATATTCCAGAAGCTGAAAACAATATTTGCGGTATGGGGGCAGAGTGTTGTCGAAATAAGAAAGCTAATAACGAAGAATTATTTAACAAGTCATCTTTCAAACCGTATGATCCTACACAGGAGCCAATTTTCCCGCCAGAGTTAAAATTAAACAGCAGTTATTCGGAGGAGTACTTATTCTTTACTGGAGAAAACGTTACTTGGATACGTCCGAGACGTCTTCACGACTTGTCGACGATAAAAGCTAATTATCCCTCTTCTAAAATAATTGTAGGCAATAGTGAAATTGGCGTCGAAGTTAAGTTTAAGAAAAAAGTGTATCCAGTGTTGTTATATCCATCAATAATAGCCGAAATGAACTTTTGTAAAGTAACAACTGACGGAATGCTTATAGGAGCTACCACTACATTGAATGAATTGTCTCATTTCCTTCAAGAACAAATTAAAACAAATCCTATTAAATCAAAAATATTTAAAGCTATCAACGAAATGCTGCATTGGTTCGCAGGTGATCAAATTCGGAATGTAGCATCACTTGTAGGAAATATTGTAACAGCTAGTCCGATATCTGATTTAAATCCAATTTTAATGGCATGTGGAGCTAAATTGAATATATATAGTGTAAGCAGGGGAACAAGGAAAGTTACTATTAATGATGGATTCTTTAAAGGATACAGAAAAACGGCTCTAGAAGACGATGAAACCGTTGTGTCTGTAGAAATTCCGTTTACCATTGAATCACAATACTTCAAAGCGTACAAGCAAGCTCGACGAAAAGACGACGATATATCTATAGTAACTGCCGCCTTTAATGTAAAAGTACACCCAATAACCGAAAAGATTTTAGAGGCAACTATATGTTTTGGTGGTATGGGGCCAACTACCATTTGTGCTAAAGTAACATCAGAAAAAATAATTGGATATCGTTGG